AAACTTTTGAATGGTAGTGTATATATATGTATATAACATTTTATCTATTATTATTAAATATATATTATAAAATAAACTTTTATACTTTTATATTGACAGTTTAACATTTTTATGCCCTTTATGAAAATCCCACAGTTCTAGTTTTTGTTAATTTTGGGTGGGTTTTTGGTCTCCAACTAAATCAGTTTGAGCAATTGCAAATCACACTGCAAAATGCTGGATTATAATGAGAGCAATGCATGTTAAAGTGGTGTAAAACTCATGCTGATGTTTAACTGATGTGTTCTTTAACAGATGGATTTTCCTATGAAAGAGAGGCGATAGAGAGCTGGATCAGCGCTTCCGATCGCTCCAGCCCGATGACCAACCTGCCTTTACAAACCACGATACTGACCGTCAACAGCAGGAAGAGCAGCCACTGACCGCAGCTTACCAGAGCTGATGACTGCATGTACAGGTGGATACACTCTTAAAAATATCAGCATAAAGCTTCCAAAAGGGTGTTTTCACAGTGATGCCATAGAAGAACCACTTTTGGTTCCCCAAAGAACCTTTCAGTGAAGAGTTCCTAAAAGAAGCAGTTTTTTTCTAAATGTGAAGAACATTTTAATATTCTAAAGAACCTTTAGAGAATGGAAAGATTCTTAAAGGTTCTTTATGGAATCATGAATACCAATAAAGAACCTTTACTTTTAGTAGCATAGATAAATTCGATGCTCAATTCATTCTCATTGACAACATTAAATGTCTAAATTGACACTTTAGTAATCTGAGGATCAGTACAACATCAACAGACTTTCTCCTACTACAACTTCAAGCAGCTGTTCGTTTTGCTTTGTTCATGTTCATCTCTTCACGAGCGAAGTGGCATTACTGTATCTTAGTGCGTACAGCTCTTTCTGTATGACGGGCCTCAATGCCGTTGCTCAGCCGAGGGTAATTTGAGGTGTTCGGGTTCAGGCACTGCAGAAGTCACGCTAATGTCTAAATGCATTTCTACTCAAAATAGCTCATGGACAGAACATTGCTGAGCATTCTGGGAAAAGCTTTTACCAGTTGATTCCACGTTTTTTCATCATATAAAGCAAACAGTATTTGTGCTCAAACACTCATGAATAAAATATATAAGACAGTGCCAACAAATTAACTTTTTGATTTAAAGCTGCTTCTTAAATGCTTAAATGGTTATTTTTAGCGTTATAGTTTTTTTATTTTGACTAGCTAGTGTTCAGCACACATGGAAACTTCAGTCTATGACGTTAATATTGTGTGAGAAATAAAATGTAATATTAAATGTGGGCCTTATAACATATTTGATTTTGGCAGTTTTAATTTCTTATTTCCTGAAATGGAAAATGTATTTTAAATACAGAATGCATAAGAGATCACAACCCATGAGACAGCAATTGCAAAAAACCCTTTTACATTTATAAAAACGACTACATAACATATATTGTATTTATGAAGGCTTTAATACTGAGTTTGGGAAATAAAATGTAATATTTAATGTAATATGCATGTGTCCATGTTCTGAATGTTCTCCAGATCATGACAATTTAGTTTCATTTTCATTTTTTAAATCTTAACTAGCTTGTCCAAATTACAATCTAACACTTAACAGTGATTAATGAAGAAATACTTTTTTCCAGTGGGATTTTTTTTATTTCCCGTAAATGGATCATGGCAGAAATGAATTCATTTTAATACAGAATGCAGTAACAGATCACAACTCGTGAGGCACCAATTGCAGAAAAAAAGAATATATATACACATTTTCAAATATAACATCTGCCCATCTCAAACTTATGATTTTTCATATTTTTTCTCCAGTTCCTTCACAAACTTTAGCATGCGCTCACATCAATATGGCCTCCATAGTTTCGTATTCGTAAAACATTTCTGGTTCATATTTCTTTTAAAAGTAGCTGTGCAAAAATAACTATATAAAATATATTGCTTTGACAGATACCAAGCAGGAGGCGCCGTAAATAAATTAATCTAGACAGGAATAACAAGCAGGAACGAATAGACTTTAACATCGTAGGGCAAATTCAAATATAATGTACAAACATACAAACAGACCAGGTACAATTTTAATAACCGCAAACATCACGTCAACCAAAAATGCATGAAAAACTAGGTACACTTTTTTTTTTTGTAAATAAATGGTCAAATACACCATCTTCACATAAAAGGTGGAAAATACACATTGCAATAATATTTACAGTACATAGTGGAGGGTCTGATCTGGCAACATGAACCCTTTATGCACAGGATCAGTTCTCCATCGGTGTCTCAGATTCAGTGTGACGCAGTGATCGAGCCGCGCTTCAGGCTTTTACGGTCCGCTATGGTCTTTTGACGGGCTTAAAAAATCTGGATGCTGGAGTATTCCAGAAACAAACCCATAAATCAGTTATGACTTAACCAGTTAACAGAAGTTTGAACTTCAGAATATGAATTTCATATATTTCTGAGTGAATATTGTGTTTATGAATGCTCTCTAAATCTTTTTATATATAAAAGCTATATATATACAGTGGGTACGGAAAGTATTCAGACCCCCAACCTGACAGAACTGGAGAGGATTTGCAAGGAGGAATGGCAGAGGATCCCCAAATCCAGGTGTGAATAACTTGTTGCATCTTTCCCAAAAAGACTCATGGCTGTATTAGATCAAATGGGTGCTTCTACTAAATACTGAGCATTTTTCAGTTTTTCTTTTTTAATAAATCTGCAAAGATGTCAACAATTCTGTGTTTTTCTGTCAATATGGGGTGCTGTGTGTACATTAATGAGGAAAAAAAATTAACTTAAATGATTTTAGCAAATGGCTGCAATATAACAAAGAGTGAAAAATTTAAGGGGGTCTGAATACTTTCCGTACCCACTGTATATGGCACTATATTATTACTTTTCATGATCTTTCAAACCTTTTGATCTAATGGCTTGAAATTTTGTCGACAAATATAAATTGTGCCTACATATGAATTTCTTTATAAATCTTACATTTTACTTAAAATGGATGAGTTGAAACTGCATTATTCTACAATATGGAAAATAGAGAGTAAATGTGTCCAAACTTTTTGATTGTATATATTTTATATATTTATACTTTACCATATACATACAACTACCATTCAAAAGTTTGGAGTGCCAAGGATTTTTAAAAATGTTTTTGAAAGAAGTCTCTCCAAAGCTGCATTTAATTGATCAAAAATACGGTAAAAATTGTGAAATATTATTACAATTTAAAACAGCTGTTTTCTACGTGAATATATTGTAAAATGTAATTTATTTCTGTGATCAAAGCTGAATTTTCAGCATCATTACTCCAGTCTTCAGAAATAATTCTAATATGCTGATTTGCTGCTCGAGAAACATTTCTGATTATTATCAGTGTTGAAAACATAAATTTTTTTTTCTTCAGGATCCTATGATGAATAGAAAGCATTTATTTGAAATATAAATCTTTTGTAACATTATAAATGTTTTTACTGTCACTTTTGATCAGTTTAATGCATCCGTTCTGAATAGAAGTATTAATTTCTTTTTGAATGGACAGTAGTGTGTATATGTATGTGTATATAGGGGCTGGAATCATCCTCAGATCGGATGCCTTCATCTGAAGTGTGTTTTCTAGGGTTGTTGCATATAAACGTCCTAAACATTCGACTCTATAAAGGATCTCTTTGGTTTCATTGCCGCTACATGAATGGTGGGGTTTTCTCGAGTTAAGCCGGGCTGTTTGCTCATACTGTCCATGAATGAATGTGCCATAGCCAGAACCGGTTTGCTTTCTTTATGGCAGAACTCTTTAGCATGCAGACTCCCGTTGTGCAGGCCGCCCATGGTGGGACCTTTGAGTGGCTCGTAATAAGCTCCGGACGGTTTGCCGTACACGATCTCACCCGTCAGACCCGCAGAAGCGACGAGTCCTTCAGTGGAGTGACTCTGCCAACCTCGAGACGCCACCGGCTGCTGCTGCTGCTGAAATCGAGCCGTTTTGTCCATGATTCCCATGAACGGACGGGGTTTGTACTCCACAGAGCCGGTCTGGCTGATCTTAGGCTTGTCCGATGCGGTTTTGGTGCGCACGTCTGGGCCTTGCACTTTCCCGCTGTCTGATAAACTGCTGCTGGACGCCAGGCTGCTGGTGGAGCTGGAGACCCTCATACTGGCGTCTTTTTGCAGCTCTTGACTTTGAGCTCCAGAAGTCGCGGAAAGAAGCGTCCCTTCTAGAGACTGAGTTTTGGACGAGTGCACTTGGATGTCTGCATCGTTGTTTGTGGGCAGTAACGGGCTGATGTCGATGCCCGGTCCGGCCTTTAGCACGCTGGATATGTGCCGGCTGGGAATCGGGCTGGACGGAGCATATTGCGATTGGCTCTTTGTGTTTGTCGGTCGTGCGGATCCCACCTGTAAGGATCCCAGATGCTGGTTGGTTTTGACGATCTGCGCCTGTTTGCTGGGCTGCAGGACGAGGCTCTTCTGGTGCTGATGTCGGAGGCTTTGCCTGTGAGGCGGCGAAACCGAGCGGCCGTTTGAAGTCTGGTTTAGCGAGTAGATGTTTTGAGACCAGGCCTCAGAGTCGTCATCCTCCTCCTCCTCGTCATCGATGTGCTCCGTCCTGTCGTCCTCGGCATGCTCCGGGTTGCTCAGGCTCTGGTGTTTGCTCTGCATCTGTTTGCACTCGTCCTCGACGCGGGCCAGCAGACGGCAGATCTCACGGTTGTTGGGGCAGAGCTTCGAGGCCTCGTGCAGGTCGGCTAACGCTGCGGTGAACTGCCTGAGAGCAGAGCGTTCAGAAAGAGATGGAGAGAAAATCGTAAGAATAATTGAGACTGGAAACGCAAATAATTGTTTTTGTTAGAGTGACACGAAAATGAACCAATCATTCAAATCAAAACACTAGTGACAAGTTTTGTAAAATTATTTTATAGTTATTTCTCTATTATTATTAGCAACTAGCAAAAAAAATTATACAACATTTAGATAAAATATTTCACCCTCTCGCTCCAGCCAGGGTCTTGTATTGGCTGAATTATATTTCTAATGTTATATAATATATATAATTTTAATAAAAGTTAAAATTTATCATTAATAATTATAATTAACATTTTAAACAACTTCTCACTCCATTCATCATCTTGTATGGCTGAATTATATTTAGAATTATATTTAAATAATACACATAAATATAAAACAATTTTTATGTATATATATATATATATATATAAAATAAAACATTCAAAATATTTATCATTTTAATTACACAAATGATATGAATGAATTCATTTAAATTAAACATTAAAACATAAAATTAAACATTCAATTTATAAGTTATAATTGTAATCAACATTAATCAACAATCACTCACTCCACCATTTTAAATGGGTGGAGTGAGTGAATTAAAAATTTTTTAAATAATCTTTTATAGATTAGAATTTTTAATTATAATCAACATTTAGCACTGTAAGAAAAACAATATTTTTCAATTTTGTAATTTAATGCAATTCTGACTTGACCAGAACAGACTTTGCATCTAAAGTGCACCAGTGATGCCTTAAAATGTTGCCTAAGTAGGCAGCTCACTAGGTTTGGAGCAGATGAAGATGCATCATGGTCTCACCTGCTGCTGCGTTTGGCTCTTGCTCTAGCGTAGTATGCCTCGTACGATTTGGGTTTGAGCTCCAAAGCCTTGGTTGCAAACTCCTCCGCCAATCCAAAGTCCTGTCAGAGAGAGTGAGGTGAACGTCAGGTACCAAAACTCAGAACAACCAAACTAAGAGAGAAGCAATCATCCACTCAGCCAGAGCTGCAGGATTCAGACTCCCACCGCAGCACGGCTGAATAGCTGTAAATTGGTCCAAATAATAGGTGATTTAATTAATGAACTCTTCAGCTGTTGTTCATTGTGTCATCAGTCAAAGGTGCAGACTGGAAATTGGCTCCGTATTGTGTCGGGAGACCTTTTGGAGCCGGGCTATTACTTCTGAATAGACCTTCAAATCAATTCAAGCCCTCGGAGTAATTAGCATCTTTCTGGTCTTGCAGTGTCTGACATTTTGAGCAGAGAAAAACCTCAATCTGATTGATCCAGATCAGCAGAACCAGCAGGGGCGAACTCTAGACCTTGGCTAAAATTACATATAAACATTATATAATATATATCATAAATTTTACAATTAGGGATGTCAAGAATTTATAGAGTCGATCATCATTTAAATAGGGATAAATTAACTTAGCATCAATAATAACAAATGAAATAAAATTTGATGTGCAAATTTGTAAATAAAATAATGTGATTATTGTAAAATGTATTAAAAGAGAAAAAATGACATGTGCAGTGTTGTTGACTAAAATGTAAATAAATCAGAAATAAAATAGATTATAAAATATAAAATACACAGCTATGGACAAAATTAAGTGACCACTTGAAAATGCTCAGTTTTTCTGGATTTACTAGGTATGGATTTGAGTAAAATGTTAATATTTGTTTTATTCTGTAAAGGTCTGATAACACATCTTCCAAATTTCAAATAAAAATATTGTCATTAAGAGCTTTTTTTGTTGTTGCAGAAAATGACAATTGGTCAAAATAACAAATATTTTTTATTTGTTGTGATTGAAAATCAGTGTTATTCCACCAAATATTGATTTCTTAACTCTTCTTAAGTTAAAGCATTGGTATCGAGTTGTCTAAAAATCAATATGAATATGTCTGAAAACATGGCATTTTGTTTGTTATTTTGACCATTTATTTTGTCTAAATGATAAGATTTTGTATTTAAAATTTGGACGAAATGTTACAAAAATTACATATTACATATGTTAGGATAAATTATATTTATATTGATAAATGACATGAAAAACTAACTGAAATGAAATTAAGCTGATTTACAAAAAAATTACTAAATCTAAAACTGAAATAAAATAAATAGAAATATTAAAAACAAACAAAAGAAACCTAATAATAACAAAAATTGTACTAAAAAGATGTAAATAAAAACTGAAAATGTAAAAGTAAAAGCTAATTCAGAATATGAATAAATACTTTAATAGTGTATAAATAATACTAAAATAACACTGCCAGTCTGTTGTATTTTAAAACTATCGTGTGGGTTGTAAAACATTTTTTGATGAACGATGTTTGAAAACCTCGATTCAATAGGTGAATTCAAAATCTGAACATTATATATGTCTAGCTCCTGATGAATTTATATGAAAGCATGTCCACAGAAAGTTATAAAAATCGTCTGACTGTACAGAAGAGGCAGAAGTAAATGAGAGCACATTTCTAATGCTTCCGGTGTCTTACGTTGGTTTTCCGGCGGCAGCGGGAGAGATTGAGGTACAAAGACACACGCAGCTCCTTAAAGGCCTTGAGTTCATCACCGAATCCCTCTCTGGGAAACTTCCTCAATGCGTACTGATACCGCTGAGCTGCTTCCTTCATCTTCCCCCTCTGAGAGAGAGAGAGAAACGCAGCTCATCAATCACAGACCATCCTGACACAAGCGTCTGCTCTGATAACAATCACTCAATAGCTCATTATTTCCAATCCCGTTTCTCCTGGAAAGTAAACTCAGTGCTTTGATAAGGCGTGTGGAGGTTCCCATTTTTATTTTAATAAGTGTTCAGACGTTAATATCACATATCAAAACTCATCTCTGGAATACTTTATTATTAGTGAGTCTCAACATTGAGCTCTCTCTCTCTATATATATATATATACATATACACACACACACACACAATTTATTTTATTAATTTAATTTTTATAATCAACATTTTATAATAAATTTTCTTGCTTCAATCACCCTCTTGGATGGGTCTTGTATTTAATAAATGTTCAATAATTCAATATATTATAAATGTATATTATTACATTTTATTATTATAATTTATAATTATAATCAACATTTCTCTTGCTCCACCCTCTTGGATGGGTCTTGTTTTGAATAAATTATATTTATAATTATATAATCATTATATATTATCTTGTATTGAATAAATTATATGATCTTGTATTTAATACAGATTTAAAAACAATACAACTACACCATAAAAATGTATAAAGTAAAACAAATGTTACAGATTAAAGTGCAAAACATATATACTTTTATTAATAATAATAATAATAATGATACAATTATATTATAAAATTAATTAAAAAATATTATATTATGAAATATTTTATAAAATATTATGTATAATTATAATCAACAATCCACCCCCACCACGTTAATCATTCCCATTTTTATTTGAATAGGAATTCAGTCATTAATATCGCATATACTTATATAC